CTATTGTAATTTCTGGAAATTTTTAAAACGCGACTCACAGCTCCTTGGAGGTGCTGAAAATTACTTGGCAGCGTCATGCTCTTTCACATTAATGATTTCTTATACTGATGTATATACGTGCTGGTTAATCTACCAATTGCACACTGTTCTCATCATTTGATGTTATATCGATCGACAGTATTTGAATTATCTCTTCGGATGATGCAGTCGCGATTTCACGTGAAACATTCCCATTTTTATTTGTGAAAAATTGGTAAGTAACAAGTTCTTCCACGCGTTAGGCATTCATTGCCAATTGTATGAAGGTGACAATAATATAGTTGACGTGCTTGCCAGATTCGTTTGATTTCTTCCGTTGATCATTCGTTTTGATTGAGCTAAAAACCATGATCATAAATATTTTCACTCATTGAAAAACATTGGCAAGTAAAAGTTTCTTTCCCACGCTATATAGACAGCATTCGTTGCCAATTTTCAGAAATTTTCTTGAGAATTTTTTGAAAATTGGCAAATAAAAGTTTCTTTCAAATGCTACAGATATTCGTTGTCATTTTTTCAAGGTTTGGATAGCTTTTGAGCAAAACGTCATGCTGGATTGCTGGGTGAATTTGCACAATCACTTGTCCCGCCCCGCGCTCCTTTTCGATTAAGCAACAACACAATTAAAAATTTAGTGGTTAATTTGATGATAATTTTCTTATCACAAACTCTCTCTCTGGGTAATTCCATTTGGAAAAAATTCAATCCTGAAACCTTGGTTTGATTTTCACTAGCAACAGATCATTGACCCTGCGAACGCTGTTCATTATTTAGTTACCGGCGGATTTGATCTACCTGTAAATTGGTGCCATTCAATATTTTTTCATGTGTAAAATTCAAAGAATAACCTATGAAGTAGTCGTAGAATACATGTCCAGCATGCAGCATCTTATACACGAGAGGAATAAATTTCATTTGAAAAGAAAACGAAATAAAATGGTTGGGTTTTCTTCAGTTTTTATACGAACATTCCGGTCGCAGCTAATGATACGACCATTCGCATGGATTTCCGCACTTATTTTTGTTTATGAAAAGTTTAAAAAATGCATTGGAACGACGCATAATTTTCTGCGCACATGCGCTTCAGCTACTGTACACTAACGTCATGAACCAAGAGAAAAAGTTCATCCGGGAACAGTCAATTTTAGTCCAAATCCATGCATGCGTCGTCTATAAGTACGGTACATAAAAAACAGGATTATTCTAGAAAAATTCTTGAAATAGTCGAAACGCTCATTCTTCTCGAATTTAAGTAATCATCCGTATTTTTTTTATCCGTTTTCGCTCTTTCCATGATCTTCATGGGCAAAATGATTACATTTCGTCCTTTTTGATTTTTTTGGAAAAAATGCTTGTATATAGTCAATGTCGTACGGAATTGCCGTCTCAGATAATTTATTTTGATACAGTGGGAGAAATTGGGTTCGTTTCACGGACAAAATTGAAACGGGCTTCTGTTCCCGGAACAACAATGAAATGATTTAGAAGTATATTTCAACAGCGCAGATCCAATTAACTCTATGATTTTTAGCTGTTATTGTACATCAAGTAAATGAGTAAATTGTTGTGTTGCTTAACACAAATGAATATACAACGTATTTTTAATATAATTATGATCAATTCTTTCCAGAACAAAGTGGTTGATATCGGCTGTTCTGGTTTGGGTACTGCTCATCGGACCACAAGAGGTCGCTCAAATGCCCAGAGCCACAGCACACGTACACAGTTACACACATTCATACGTTGTCAACTTAGAGCGACACCTGCATCACTTGCTATATTTTATCCGGGAATGTATTGTTTTACTCAGCGCTGACTGTCGCTTCAGCATATCGTACCCCAGTTATTCCTACTCATTGCCCTTTTTCTTCATTCCGGAACTGAAGCCATCTTATACGAGGGTTCTAACAAAAGTTCTCAGAGTCAACCACAAGCCATCACCAGAGATGGATGAATTTTTTTTATTGGATTCCTCATCCTTTTTTAACCTAGAACCAATTTTTTTTTTATCCCTAAACAAAAAATGGAAACTGGGAAAAAAATTGAATGAGTTTTTTCTGGTGCTGTGCCCATCACCCATTCTAACAGAAGTTCTTGGAATTAAAATGAAAAAACAATCTTTTGGGTAAAAAAAAAATTGTCTTATTGACAGAAAACACTTTCCCTTGAAGCCCTTCTTTTACAGTTGGAAACAACCAAAAATCTCAGGGAGCAAGATCAGGGGAGTAAGAAAGAAGAGTAAAAAGCTGAATGCCCAAATTTGAAATGAAATCAAGAGTTTTCAAAGCAGTGTGTGCAGCAGCATGCATGTGCGCAACTGCTCTTTGGTCATGGGTGGGTACTTCATCCAATACGACTCATTCAAGTTTTTATTTTGCGTTTCCGTTTTTGTCTGGGGATAAAAAAAAAAAACGATTCTAGGCCAGAAAAGGATGAGGAATCCTATAAAAAATCCACGTCCATCTCTGGTGACAGTTTGTGGTTGATTCCAAGAACTTCTGTTAGAATGGGTGGGCGCATCACCAGAAAAAAACTCATTCAATTTTTTTTTCCAGTTTCCATTTTTTGTCTAGGGATGAAAAAAATTGGTTCTAGGTTAAAAAAGGATGAGGAATCCAATAAAAAAATGTTCATCCACCTCTGGTGATGGCTTGTGGTCAACTCCAAGAACTTTTGTTAGAACCCTTGTATGGTGCAATCTTTGGTAACTACAGTCAGAATAAAACATGTTCCCTGGTTTCTTTTCAGCGACCAGAAGAATTTTCGCCGGAACCGCTGGCAGCTTGGGACCAATTGCGGCGTGAAATGGAACTGAATTCTGGTTGAAAATTATTAAACAATTTCTGAGTCAAGCAGAATGCGGGATGAGATTTTTAGAATTTCTTGGAATCTACTTCCTTCGTCTTATCCTGTAAAAAGAATTTTTGGAAGATTTTCCTCCACCAGAGGAAGCGCAATTAATTTACCCGAATAATGTGGACCTGGAGAAGTTGCAAAAAAGTGAAGGGAAATTTCGCGCGAATAGAGGGATGCTTGTTGACTTGTTGAGTGCATTTCTGTCAACGAAAATGATCTACGCCGATTTTTTTGAAACATTGAAAGCTTTCAAAAGAAGTTCTCTTTCATTATAAAATAAAACTGTCCCTTCTCTATACTCCTTTCTGGATGCATATTTTTTGTGAGTTTTCGCGCGTCTCCGGGATGTTCCCTTTCCCTGAAATTCGATAAATTATTTGAAGATACCGTACAATTTAATGTTTCATTATGTTTGTATCCAGTAATTCAATTCTGAATTGATTCATTTATTCGCAGGATAAGGCAAACGTTGGTCTCTAAATAATTCGGAGTGAAGCTCCTCTTATTTTTTCAATTATCCGCCTCTAAAGAAATCAGTCATTTTTTTTGCATCTCGTCTGCTGTTATTCGTGAAAATCCGTTTAACGTCCAACCAAGATTGAAAACAAGGTGATCATTTAGTTAAAAAACAGACTTCATTATTGAAAAAGTTTGTCAGTATTTCCTGGCTTACATCAATAGTTCCAAAATATGTTTATACTGAGCGTTTCGCTCCTTTCGAATCAATTTAGAGCAAAAAATATATATTCTGCACATCAGCTCAAGGCAGAAATATGATCGCTCACAATGTTCTGTAGTTTTCTCTTTTTTGAACAGGGTATATGCAGATCTCGAATTTAAATGCGCTGGTATGCAATAAATTCAAACCTGAACGGATAACTTCAAGCGTTTAATTCTAAGTGGGGTGCTCCGAAAAACTTCGGGAATGATTCGAAACTACAAGACATGACAAATTTCAAAATTAGGGGTTTAATGAAATGAATTATTTTTCACCGTCATGAGAGATATTTCATCTCATTCTCCAAAACATTCACTAGATGGCTAAAATGCGAGCATATTATTATTAGTACCCAGTGCTGCTCGGATGTATCGTATAGAAAAACCATTACTGCGAAGTTTTCTTTATAGATGAAAATTCGCGAGGTCTCAGCTGAAACTTCACGGCTACCATCATGAATAAATCTGTTTATAACGAATGTTCGCTGTTCATATAATGAATATTACAACAAATAAATTCTCCCGTATTTTCTGACTTTATCTAATTTAATTATGGGAAAAACGACCACTTTGCTTGAATTTTTTACAGTATTCCTACTATGAGAAATGTGTTTTTCTACTTGCAAACTTTTCGCCGCTTGTTTAAGTTGATTTGTTCGGAAAAACCAAGATTTGAAGAAATTATCCTTTTTAACATTTATCACGATTGTCCATGGAATCTATTCTCCATATGGACACATATTGTTTGCAAATTTATGCGTCATTTTATTAAGATTTAATCTATATATACAGTACAGTCGTACCTTATGAACTAAGAAAACATGCACTGGTTTCATGGGATATATAAAGCGATCAGATAATTACACACAATTACTCGAAAATTCCCAATTAAAATAAACGCAGAGGTATTCAGTGCCCATAAAAATAAAAATATTTTACATAATGTTTGTATTGATGCCCGTGTACATTGCTATAAACCTCATTTCAGCTTTCAGGTTTTCACGATTTTCATTTTTTTGTTTGCCTGGAGGTCTCTCAAAAAGTTTTTACACCTATATTTTCTTATATTTAAAAAATCGATTTAAAATTTTGAAAATGAAGTTTTTTCAAGCCTGCGCTCGTCAAAATATTGCAACAATAACATCATCTCTGAGCTTCATCAATAAGCTAATTTTTACCAACCACAAACTGTATTTTCGAAGTGAACAAAAATAAAAATCGAAGAAATGTTTTCTTTGATTCAGCGAAGTGGCCACGATAATATGGCTTTAATTTTCACCAATTTCCGTCTCCAGAACAGTCACAAAAACAGTTTCCTGGTCTCGTCGAAGCTTAAATCAACAACACAAATATTTTCGACTGGTCATATTCGTGACTGCAAGGTGTCAAAACACATTCGACGTAAATATCATTCGTGAAAACAAACAGGGCGCAGTGATCTTATAAAAAGGGGACTCGCAAGGAGCCACATATATCGTCTCATTTTGCGAAGGTTATAGAGTCACTTGCCTTCTGAACACAGTACAGTGCTGCTGTAATCGTACATTTATCGAATCAGCAGGAATATAGATTTCTCCCAAGTATAAACGAAAAGATTTGCCGATATGAAGCTGATTGCTTTGATGTTGCTCGTCGTGGCGATTTCGGATTTCCAACTGGAGGTCCTCACGTCTGTGAAGGGTGAGTCAAAGACTTCTTTTTGAAACTCAAATTCATCATTGAAACTGATTGACAATTTGTTTATTATGCAGTCAATCATTATCTTATTAAATAAAAGAGGGAATCAGTGAAGAAGTACGAGTAAAATCTAAATTAGAATCACTCCAGCCCATTTGCCCCGATCGATAAATAAGCCATTCATGAAATGAGTATATTTTTGCAAAAGCTCGATTGATTATTACTTAGAAATCGGGATTGGGAAGTTTTTTGGACCTATACGCTATGTTAAAGAAAGCATATTCATAGTGATACTGTATAATGAAGACTTTTAAATAACCTTCATTCCTTGAAATAAATTCGCCGTTCTTCATGACATTACTTACTCATATTCTAGTCAATACATCTTTCCAATAACTATCTCTATATTGGAGATCCACGGAGCCTTCTTTTACAGAAAATGCGGAGACCCCGGGGATGTGCGGAATAAATTTTGAAAACTTATGATTTTGATGAATATATATATTTTTTCGTTAAAACCTCGTTTCAAATAAAGCAAGAATAACTATTAATGCAGCAGATTCAATTTGTTATTAAAATGCAACAGTTTCCGCTTTGGAAAATTTAGGTGCTCGTATTTTTTATTTTTTTTTTTTGCGTGATAAATAAGGCGTAGACTTTTCTCTCAATTCCTGCAGTTGATTTTCAAAAGCATAGAAAGCTTCAAAAATTTGCTTTCAAAATCTGAGAATATATGGTTTTTCTACGTCTTGGACGAAAAGCAAATCAATGGTCCGATTTTTTAACACCTTTTCGCAGAATTAATTTAGCTTATTTAATTATCTATATCGCATCATTTTGAATTTAGCTTCAAAATTTCAATATTTCATATCCAACTCAAAATTTGGAGTGTATATTATCTTGGTAAAAAATGTCCTCGTTTTTTTATTTATTGACGATGGTCAACATTTTAGATGCAGAATAAATACTGTATAGTTTCACTTATGCGATGACTCGCGAAACTCAGCCGTCGTGGTTAACATACAATTTTTGATTTACGATGGATTCCGGAAAATTTTTCTCCATGTCGAATAGATGCATGGGTCAAATATAAGAAAGTATTAAAATGATACGCTTTTTAATGCTCCCAAGATGTACATATCAAGATTAAATTTGTTTGAAACGTCCGCGTTGTCTTTTAAATTTGACATCAAACTTCGAAAAACAATTTAATATACTTAATTTCGATCTCCCGATGTGCTTATACTGTATAGCACAGATAAATCAATAAAAAATACTGTTCACATCGAGTAAATCCCTTTATAACTCCCATGCGGAATTTCAGCTCATTTTTAGTCGAAATGCGTTTCGGAACACAATTTAGAGACGATCCATCAATGAATTAGCTGAATTAAATGGGCATGTCAGCAATTGATTCAAAGTTACAGTGAATTTCGCGATGCAGATTGGTTAGTATACGCTGCAAGCTCACATACGTGAGATGGACGATCATCTGGGTTTTTGTTTTTCATATACTGTGACTGCAATTTTGCCTTCGCGCACACAATTTGGTTCCCATAGGCATGCCTCACGACGTCCAAAAGCGCCAGGCATCCAAATGCGAAGAAGAGGAGGTGGATTTGTGTCTTCCGGTCTGCACACGGTGCCCAACAACACCGTCGACTACTCCGAACACAGAAGGAAAGAAAAAAAAGAAGATGAAGGCATCAATGATGAGTATTGCTGCTTTTCTTGCCAGGGACCATTTATTTGCAGGTGAGTGAGAAAAATCCTGGAATGACAAGTCACCAAAAACACCTTAAAGTATTTAACCTAGCATCTTTTTTCTTCACCCTCCAGAAATTCAGACCAAGTGTGCAAAATCGTGTGTCAGTGTCGCACCCCAATTATTTTACCAGTGAGAGTTTTGAGATGGACTTGTGCTTAGAGGAGTAAAACTTGGCAATTGGTTGGTGCGCAAACAACCTGAGGGATCCAAGAGATCCCAAAATAAGCGCACAATAAATTTTTCATATAAACGTAAAAAACGGCAAATCAATGAGCTGAAGAATGGCGAGATTCCGCAGATTGTTTTTTAAGAATTGCGAGGCAATGGCACAAGCATTTGTAAGAGTTTTTTCCGGCAACTGCAAGACGTTTGTCCAACGTGGTCTCTGCTTGAAAGAAGTCTGATGATGTTCTGGGACTTTCAGCCCCATTTATACCTGTGAGGAATAATTGGCAAGGTGTGCCAATCCGGAGCAGCAAAGATGTTTGCTGCGGGGTCTAACAAGGAGATTAATAAATCTTGGTTTTCCTTCCAGAAATGGGGAGTTTTTTCCCATTTTGATTGGCAACATCTGGCCAGTCAGGCGCAGTTTCCCACAAAATGGGAGGCTGTGTGCTTTTTTTAACAAAGATCTGGAGAGGAATTGCTTCCTCTCCAAGTTTTTGTTCCCACCCCTTTGGGTTTGTTTGGTTATGCTCATTTTTTGCAAAGGGGGTGATTTCTCTTTGTACGCATTTTTCCAAGTCGGGCTTTATGGCCCAGTTCAGATTGTGCGGAATTTTTTACCGGACTAAATGTTCTCAAAAAATTAAGCAGTAATTGGCGCGTCTCGGGACACGCCTGCAAGCTGCTAACCATCCCCTCAATAAAAATGAACCCATCTCTGGGTAAATAACCCTTGCTGAAGAGTCAAATGACCCCTAAAAATCGGAGATCAACCCCACCAGCAGCTGGTCGCTGCCTGTACTCGTCGAAACCTAATATGCTGAACCATTTGTCGCGCTTCTTCAGAAAACGTTTTTCCTGCAAAAGAACATGTTTTTCGGACCCTAAAAACAATTTGTCACCGTCTTCCGAAAACATGCGCAGCCTTGTAAAAGCCTCGCCAATTCGAAAAACACCCGGTTTTTCGGGAAAACATCCTTCTTCAGACTTCTCAATTTTTTCGTCTCAAGAAATTACCAGCAGCTGGTGTTTTTCTGTTCTTCACACCCAGCTGCTGGGATACTCTGCAGGTACCATGCTCCCCCGCCCCCTTTTTCAGTATAAAAACCCCTGATTTTTGGGGTGAAAAACACAGTCCGAATTTTTACCTCGAAGCGTTACGTCGTGTCGGAGAAATCTCGTACTTTTGCCAAAAACTAACCTTTTGCGGAAATCAGAAAAACCTGTTGTGCATATTTCGCGATTCGAAAACTGTTGTGAATATCTTCTGTACTTTTTGTGTTCCTGTTTGCTGAACTGTTTAACAAAGGGCTTGCGCTTGTTTGGGAGAGAATCCCTGGTCGGTTTGCGCACCGGCCAATTGCTGTGTTGAATTATTTCCTTTATATCATAATTGTCTTCTAAGAATTATTCTTTGACTCTTGAATTCTAAGTACCAACCTAAAAAACCTTGCCAACTTAATTTATCTCAGGTAATACTTGCAAGGTGTACGGCTTGCTCCAATTTATTTCTCACTTCAAAGTAAAACCGTACATAAAACTGGTAGCAGAGCGTGGTTCTGCCCAAAAAAAAAATTTTCTTCTTTTGCTTCCACTGCGCCTCTAAAAAATTCAAAATAAACTTGTGATTTCCCAGTTCCGATCGGATTTTATCTTCTCCTCAAAATTTAATTTTGTAGCATCTTTTCAAAAAAGAAAACTCTTTTTTCTCGAATCAAGTTTGTGTGTTGCTCTTCTTACGTGATCTGTTTCTTTACTTCACGTTCTTTTGAAACCTTCATCAGGTATCTAAAAAATTAACCCACTTATTTTTCTCCTTATCCAGTGCCTTCTGTTCACCCTTGTGTCCTTTTCTAAAAAAAAACCTTTCATAAAACTTTCTTCAAACCCTATAAATCAGTGTGTGTTGTGCTCTTGATCTAAAACAAAAAAAAATGATGAGGACTACAAGTCCGGCAGCCCGAAAACCGGAAATCCAAATTCTGGATACTGACGCTCTTGAAGTACATCAGTTTATGTCTGGGGTCTTCGAATCTCATACTCAGTCATTAAAACTTTTTGAAAATCTCTTCTCAAAAGTTAGGTCAATTCAAGAATCCCTCTGTCTGGCTGAGTATCTAACCCTGAAACAGGGGGGATCCATTCCAACTAAGCCAGATCTCTACTGGTGCAAAAAATTTAATGTTATTTTATCTCTTAACCTTCACCCAAGACCAAAATCTGGTAAGACTTCAAAAGAAGATGTTGTCAAGAAAATACGTATTTACCTACCTTCCCCAAACCTGGGAAAACCCTCGGGCCCTGTGTGGTCACTTCTTAATATATGTCATCAAAACATGGGTCACCCATCCCCTTATTCTTCCCTTAATTTTATCCAACAAACCTTTCGAGTTAAGAGGGCCCGAACATTGGCCAAGAATATTGTGAAAAATTGTGAAAAGTGTAAACAACTCTATCCTGCCAAAAATCTCTGATCCATCTCCATATCATCTGTCAAAGGAGATAACTTCCATGGGTTTAAAGACATCCTTCTATCAAACACACCTTGTCCTTGCTTATGGTCCCTCCCACCCCTTGTCCGGTTGAGACTTTTTGAATTAACAGATTCCTTACAATCTCTTACAATAAAAACCCAGAAATGGGCAAACCAAAAAAGGAGGAGGTTGCCGTTCAAAAGACCCAGAGATGGGTGTAAAGGGAAGACCTCGTGTGAACCCTAGAAACGGAAGTGCTGTAACTGGTAAAATAAATCAAGAAATCAGTTTTTACAAATTCCCAAAACCAATTTATTAACATACCCAAGTTTCAATGTTTTCCCCCCACCATCAATACATACAAAATCATACAAAATATGATGTACAAAAAAACTTGTTTACACATATAGAACAAAAGGGGGGGGG